CACTTTCCTGATAGAATCCTTTGAAGCACTGAAGCTCTATGTTTTCACGAAGTCTAATTTATCTGTGTTTTCTTTTGTTCTTGTGCTTTTGGTGTCGTGTCGGAAACCACTGCCCGATGCGAGGTCGTGGAGATTTACTCCTGTGTACTCCATGTTAGGAGTGTTATAGTTTTAGCTCTCACATTTAGGTCTATGATCCATTTGAGTTAATTTTCGTATACGGTGTGAGGTAATGGCCCAGATTCATTCTTTTGCATTTGTACTGTCTGAGCATTTTTTCTTGCAAAGACTATTCTTTCCCCATTGAATGGTCTTGGTAGCCTTGTTTGAAAATCAGTTAGCTGTAAATGTGAAGGTTTATTTCTGAAATTGGGAAACGTGAGTTCTCCATCAAATAATTCTTAACCTTTTCTGGATTACAGAAACCTTTTTGAGAATCTTATAAAAACTTTGTGCCTAGGAAATTGTACATACATAAATAGAAAATTTTGCATAAGATGTTTTTGAATTGGAAGTTTATATTCTTTCAATTAAAAAATGAAGTAAATCTAGATTAGACAAATAAAGTGAATTTCAATTCTGCTCAAAAGTGAATTTTAATGACTTGATTCAGTTACATAGATTGAATGTTCAAACGGCAATGTCATGTTATTTTTGACATCTAGTTGGTTTTTACTCTTTTGTCCTGATTACAACAATCTCCGCTCAGACTGTCAAAGACCTGAGAGTAGCAAATGGAATTGGGCTTCTCAGGTGAGAGTAGGCTCTCTAAGCCCACTTGAATCTCTAAGATTCATTGGTTTTCATATTTTCTAGTAGTTACTGAATTAATACATTTCAAGGTTTTTGTTTGCTTAATTTTTTTACATGATCGTAAATAGAATTTTTACCCATAAAAAATCTTTTTATTGTAAAATAACATTGCATTAATGTACAGTTTAATGAATAGTTACAAAACATAGAACCACCCAGGACCCCCCACCCTTTCCTGATCACAGCTCCCTGGAGGAAACCACTGTCCTACAGTTATGATCATCTCTTTGTTGCTTTTCTTTATACTTTTATCATCCCTAAAGACTGTATTTCAGCTTTGACTGGTTTTGAACTTACGTGTTAATAGAATATACTGTATGTATTCTTCTGTGTCTTTTTTTAACTCAGTGTTGATTCAGTCATAGTATTCACTTATTGCATAGGCTATGGTTCTTTCATTTTTATTGCTGTATAGAATTCCATTGTGAGAATATACTGTAATTTATTCATTTTACTGTTGATAGACTATTACAAATAGTGAGTCTATAGCCATTCCTGTATAGGTAGTAGAAGGAATCAATCAAACTCAATTCCATTCTTTTCTACTTCTGTTCTAACACCATTGCAAATGCAGTACTTCTTCCTCTGACCTAACCACCACAGCTAGGTCAGAGCTCACAAGTTAAAGGGCACAGCCTTCCAGACTGCCGAGTCTACCCAAGACTTCAGATGCCAACTGCAATCTTGGGGATCTCCATGATACCCTCACTTCTGACCCGATGGCTGTAAATTTGGGGTTTCCCACTACCCTCTCATGGGTAGTACTTTTTTGTGTTTTAATTAAGAAAACCCTTTCTACCACAAAACAAAACAAAACAGCCCAACTCGTGGCCGTGGAGCCGATTCCAACTCCTAGCGACCCTATAGGACAGAGGAGAGCTGCCCCACAGAGTTTCCAAGGAGCGCCTGGTGGATTCCAACTGCCGACCTTTTGGTTAGCAGCCAAGCTCTTAACCACCAAGTCATAAGATATCTTCTATATTCTGTTAAACAACGTGTGTAGTTTTTCCTTCCGTGTGTGTTTAGGTTTTAAATCTACTCTGGGATGGATCTGTGTGTTGTGAGAGAGTTGCCCACTTTCTTTTCCTTCCACACAGGTCTGTAAAAGGTGTCTCAGTGCCTTTCGTTGAAAAGCCCATCCTTGCCGGGTGCTGCTTGGGGCCTCCTGTGTTATATGTGTCACCACATGCTGGGGTCTGTGTCGGGGCTCTTGCTCCTGCTCCGTATGGCCTTAATTCCTATAGCATTCCCGTGAGTCTTGCTACCTGGTAGAGCTTTTGTTGTTTTCAGGAATGATTTGCATATTCTTGGCCCTTTGTCTGCAATTTTAGAATCAGCTCATCAGGTCTACAGATTTTCATTGGGATTAAATTGAGTCTATAAATCACTTTGAGGAGAATTGTTGTACAGTGATCTGCAAAAGCCGGAACCTGTGTAAGGCGGAAACCTGTCAGAGAAGGAAAATTCAAATATTTCCAGTAATAGACAGCCATAGAAAAGTGCTTAGGCTGCACCTGTCAGAGGCGGAAAACTTGCGAGACCCGGAAAAACAAGGCAGTCCGGTCGAGTTCCCGCTCTCTCAGGTTTTACTGTAATTCATTTTTTAGCTTTATAGTGCTGGTATATGGAAATATTATTTTTATGTACTGATTTTGCATCTAACAACCCTTCTTTTTATTAATTCTTATAATAGCTTTGTTTTTTCTTTTCTAGTACCTATACCTTTTAGTTGTTTTCCTTATTTTAGTACACCAGCTCAATCCGCCAGTGCGGTGTTCGCTAGAAGTCGCAGGATCAGGGATTCCTGTCTTGTTCTTAATTGCAAAACCACTGCTTTCATGTTATTTGTATAGAACTTTTTAGAAATGCTCATTACCAGATTATGGAAGTTTCCTTCTATTTCTGATTTGCTAGGGAGTTCTTGTTTGTTACTCTTTCCTGTTGCCATCAAGTCAATTCTGACTCATAGCGACCCTATTATCATAAGTAAATGTTGACTTTTATTAAACAGTTGTTCTGGACTTTTTAAAATGGTCATATGATTTTTTTTCTTTTACTCTATTAATGTGGTGAATTTTATGAATTAATTTTTTTGTGTGTTTTAAAACAACCTTGTGTACCTTGGGTAGACCCGACTTGATGTTCGCATCTTTGCTCCTAGATAAGATGGGCTTGTGGTTTTCCTCTCTCACATCCTCCTTTCCACGTTACAGCGTCAGGGTCACGCTGTGCTCAGCAGGTGAGTTGGGGAGTCAGCGCTTTTCTCCTCTTCTCTGGAGAAAATTTGTGTAAGACTGGAATTATTAATTCTTTGAATATTTTATAGAACTTGCTTGTCAGGCCATCTGAGCCTGCAGGGTTTTTTTTTTTTTGTGGAAAGGTCTCACTTGGTAATAGTTATGGGACTATTCAGGTATTCTATTTCTTTGTGATTCAGGTTTGCCCGTTTTGTCTATATATTCTAATCTCTTAATGTAAAATTGTTGATAATACCCTCTTACATATGTGATGTCTGTATGATCTCTAGCTAAATCCGTTTCTAAATTCCTAGTGTTGGTACTTTATACCTTCTCTCTTGACCTTGCTAGACATTTACCAATTTTGAAAGCCTTCTCAGAGAGTCGGTTTTGGCTTTGATGCTGTGTAGCGTGTGTGTTTTTTATGCCATAGAGTCTCTGCTCTCACCTTTATTTTTCCTTCTGTCTACCTTTTCAAGGTTTATTTTGCCAGATGCTTAGCTCAGTAATTTCCAGTCTCTTTTTTTCAATATATGCATTTAAAGCTATGCATTTCCAGTTATAAATTCTGTATCCCACAAGTTTTATCACTGAGTATTTTCATTATTGTTCAGCTCAGTTATTTTCATTATCATTCTTTGACCCATGAATTATTTAGAAGTTTATTTCTTAATCACCAAACATGAGGATTTTCAGTTTGCTCTTTGTCACTGATTTCCAGCTTAATGGAACTAGGTCTGAGAATGTGCTCTTTATGATTTTAGGCATTCAAAGTTCAGCTGTGGCCCAGGCACTTGTTATGAACGGTCTGCATATAATGGAAAAGAATGTGTGTTCTACAGATGTTGGGAGATAGTATCCTGTAAATGTCCACTAGGCTGTGTTTTTTAATTCTATCACTCGTGTCTTATATATTTCATAGATTTCACCTGCTTGTTCTATCAGTTACTGTCAAAATCTCCCATTACAGTTGCTCCTGGTATATCCTCCTGGTGAATTGAAACTTCTGTCATTATGAAGTGAACGTTATTTATCTCATTCAATTTTTTTCTTTAAAAATTCTGTCTTGCTTAATATTGATACAGATATGTTTTCTTTTGACTGCTGTTTTCATGCTATTTATTTTTCCATCCTTTTACTTTCGGTCTTCCTGTATTCTTATGTTTTATGGGTGTCTCTTGTAAGCAGCATGCTGTTGAATTGTAATGTTTAAATCTAGTTGGATAATATGTCTTTTAACTGGAGCACTTAGCCATTTGCATATAATGACTAATACATTTGAATTTATATCTCCCATCTTTTGTTCTTTTTCTTTTTCTCTTCCCCTTTTTTGGGATTTTTTTTTTTTTATTCAAACATTTTTTTTCTTCTACTAGTTTGGAGGTCATACTGTTTCTGTTCTTTTAGTGATCTCCCAAGAAATTACAGTATGCACCTTCAGTTTACCAAAACCTCATGTTAATCGTTACCTTTCTTCTCCTGTAACCCCTTTGTCCTCTCCTGATGGAAGTATCGCTGTTGTTGCGTATTTTGGTTCTTTACATATTTCAAATCCCACATAACATTTTGTGTTGTGTAGTCAGTGTTCGTGCACATTTACCCACATTCATAGCTTCCTTAGCTGTCATTTTTTCTTGTATCCAGACCTCTCTGTAATCACTGTCTTTCTTGCAGAAGCAGTCCCTCTCCTCACTTATCAACACGGTTAGGTTCCAAAGACCAAGTTGTTATGTGAAATCGTCATTAGGCAAAAATGGAGGATGACCACATCAGATCACAAAATGGAGGATCATTACATCATTACATAACTGCCAAATTACATTATTACATAACTGCCCAACCACTGAGAATCATGGCCCAGCCAAGTTGACACAAAACCTTAGTCATTACAGCCAGCTTTACTCTCGCCTCACACCTCGATGGCGTTCGTTACTGCCAGATGTACTTTGTTAATGCACAAAATTAGTCAGATAGTAGAATTTTTACTATTGTTATAAATGCGAAATGTTGGATAAGTAGATAGTCGATAAGTGAGGAGAAGTGTATATTTTCTGGTGTTTCCTTTGCTGTAGCTTAGCTGGAGGTGAGCTCCTCAGTGTTTGGTTGTTTACAAATACCCATACCCGACTCATAGCAACCCTCTAGGACAGAGTAGAATTGCCCCATAGGGTTTCCTAGGCTGCAGCCTTTATGGGAGCAGGACCAGGTCTTTTCTCCTGTGGAGTAGCTGGTGGATTTGATCTGCTGACCATTTGGTTAGCAGCTGAGCACATAACCACTGTGCCACCAGGGCTCCTTTGTCTACAAATACTTTTTAAATTTTATTTATTTAGTTGCCCTCCTTGAAACATTTTCCCTGAATATTGGCTCTAGGTTAGCAGATATTTTCTTGAAGCCGATGGTATTGTGATGTGTTCTAGCTTCTGTTGGTGTTTTGAGAAGTCTCTCATCTTTGCAAGGGATCTGTGTGTTTTTGGCTTGCTGCTTTAAGGATTTTCTGTCTTTTGTTTTCTGCAGTTTCAGTGTGATGCGATCAGGTGTAGATTTCTTTTTATTTATCCTCCTTGGAATTTGCTGGGTTTCTTGAATTCGGATCAGTGTCTTTCATTATTTCTGGAGTGTCTTAGCCTTTATGTCCTCACTCTATTGCTTCAGCCTGTCTCTGCCCCCACCTCCTGAGACTGATGAAATGCATGTTACGATTTCTCGTTTTAGGATTTGTGGCTCTTACCTTCGTATCTGTATTTTCCATCACAGTTTTTCCCCATTGCATTCTGGATAATTTGACCCATATTCCGCTCGATTGGTACACCTGGCAACTGAGTAATGTTTCCCCCTTAGAAATTGTGCCTTAGTTCTGTCTGCTTCTTTGCCCAGTGATCTCTGGGCAGAAAGGGTGACCTGCCTCAGTTCTCAGAGAGGGTCAGAGACCTTGCTCTTTATATTGCACTTCATGAGGTGGAATACTCAGGGTACAGTGCCTCAACCCAAATTAACTGGTTAACTGGGGCTGTGAGACCCAAAGCAGAACCGTTAGGACTCGGTGCCCTCACCACGTTAGTGATGTTACCCAAACTGACTGACCAGCTGCAGGGGGCATTTTAAAGTCAGGTGGCATTTACACAGTGGCTGTGGGTCTTATGGCTCGTAATTGCTTTACTTCTGATGTCTCGACTGCTCTGACGGTGAATCACTTCCCAAGTATTTGGGTGTATTCTCTCCCACAGTTTAGCAGGTGTGTAGGGAAGAGGATAAATTTTGTCATTGCGTATGTTTCTATACTCTGCAAAATTTGTTGGTGAGGTTGTTGTACGTGTCTCAGCTAAATTCCAACCGATCTATTTTAGTTAAGATTTTCAACTTATTTACATATTGACTTTTTTTTCCGCCCTTAATCTTAGCTGTGTTGGAGTAGAAGAACATTATGCCTTTGACATTGACCTGTATCACTGTCCCAGCTGTGCAGTTCTCCATGGCTCCTCCTTGAGTAAGTACTGCTAGCATAAGTAAAAATTTAAGTTTAGAACGTAACGTACACATGGTGATATTTTAACAGTACTCTAATTAGTTATATTTACACCCACCAAGAACTATAGGGAAGATATTACTGAAGTTATTTAGAATGCATGTTTTGTCTAACCTTTTTAAAAAGTCAAAAGATTAAAAAATAACTATCATTCTTAATAACCAGAGCAAAGCTTTCAAACAATTACATATTTTCAAAGCCTTCAATTTGAGAAATGGGGTGAAGAATTTTTCTGGTTCTGGAAACTTCAACTTTTTATCCTTCATAAATTAAACAAATAAAAAAGATCTTTCAGTAGTATTTTTGGATTATGTATAGATAAGACTTTGATGCACACATATGCGTTTAGGGAGAAATTAGTGCATTGATGAGCTAAAATATTACATTTTCTGGATTTTCTCATCATATTGAACATGGCCAGGAATTGCGCCCAGTCGCCCGCTGTGCCTGAAGCCCGTCTGGTGCTGTCCCTAGGAAGGTGCGGCCCAGAGGACAAGGCCAGCCCAAGCCCCTCACTGCACTCTTCTTCCTGAGAAGGTATGAGCTAGTGGGGCCTCAGCATCCTCCCAAGTGTGCCAGTAACCTTCACCAGGAATAGATCTGTATCATGGTCTGGGGCTGAAACAGCACATAGAAGATGGTATTTATTTCTAGCCTTTTACGTATGCTTCGGAATAATAATAATAAAAATATCCCTGAGTGGCACAGATGATTTGCACTAGACTAGTAATCTAAAGGCTGGCAGTTTGAATCTACCCAGGAGTACCACAGAAGAAAGGCCTGGCTATCTGCTGCCATAAAGATTACATCCGAGAAAACCTTATGGAGCAGTTCTACTCTGTAACATGTGGGGTCACCATGAGTTGGAATCGACTCGACGGTGACACGTTAGTTTTTTTTTTTCCCCCCAGAAGAATAAATTGAAGTATTAATTGTCATTTTTCAACTGTGAGAGTAGAGAAAATGTTTAGAAGGCTTTGGATTGTATTATGATTATTTCTTTTCTTAAAAATTCAGACCGCAAACTATTGCTTTTGTGTTCACAAAACTAAAATGAAAACTGTAGACTAAGCCACGCTAGAGCTAGGAGGAGCCTTCGCAAGACGTGAATCTTGCCCACTTGGGTCAGATGTAGGGAAACGACACACCTTCTTTACTTTATTTCAAATGTGGCTCTATCTCTAGTGTTTTTTTTTAAATGGACATTTTGTTCTGAGGTTATTGGCAAATAATTTTTTAAAAGAGACTAGCAATTGACTGCTCATCTGTTTTGCTAGTAACATTAATAACTTTCTTAATTTCCTTGTAAGAGATTTAGAAATTTAAGCTATAGGAATACATTAAAATATTTCCTTATAAAATACAGATGATCTATTTTGTTAGTTCCACAGTATAAAGTCTGAGGTTTAGCAAGTTGTTAAAATTTTTGCACGTATAATTGGCTAATTTATTGTCGTAAATGTTTTTAAAGAATCTTATACCACGTAACACTGAAGTATGTATTATATAATTTGAGATGGTTGTTGATGGAATGTAATTCTTAGAGAAAGTAAATAACATTGGATTTTTATCTCAAATAAAATAGAACTAAAATTTGTAAGAGTTTTAGTTTAGAATTAAGCATATAATCTACAAATGAAATAATTTGAATTAAATTGAAATATGAAGTGGATTATTATGGGGCAGGATAATGTAGGGTTTCAAATTCCACCACGTGTGATGCAATCTATTTTCTATGTGATCTAATTTTTTTAAAAAACTTGTCATGCTCACTAAATTGATTTCCCAGTCAATAATGGATCACAATCTACGCTTTGAAATAGGCTGCTTCCAGGAGAAGCTTGCCTGTTATCTGGTCCTTTGTATGCTTCTCATCCTTGGTAACTAAGATCAGGCGTTGGCCATCTCTGGGCAGAAGGCCAGCTCTGAGTACCCACAGAGAAATGCCCGAGATTCAGTAATCTGTTTTAAATGGATCTGAGGCTCCCCTTGCCCAGCCCTCACCCTCCATCCCTGGTTTGGGTTGCACCTTTTGATTCCTTTCCCTCTGCTATTAAGCCTCTCTTGCTTGCTACCCAGGGTTTCCTGTTCCCCAGGAATCCTTATTATAAACCATTTAGCCAGCATCCACCATACCACACCACGATGCCGTTGAGTCAATTCCGACTCATAGCGACCCTATAGGACAGAGTAGAGCTGCCCCACAGAGCTTCCAAGGAGTGGCTGGGGGATTCGAATTGCCGACCTTTTGGTTAGCAGCCAAGCTTTTAACCACTGTGCCACCAGGGCTCCTTACCTAGCATAATACCGCTTAATATGGTGAATTTAGAATTTATCCTCCTAATGGGAATTCAGAACGCTATTTGAGGGCAGGTATCAAAAAACAACGCCAACACTTAAACACGTTTTCTTTGCTTCTCAGGCATATGCAATCCAAACACAAAATTTTCTCTCCTTTCCCTATGACAGCGACTGAACTATCCCTTCCAAAGGGGCTGGGCTCCTTCCTGTAGAAATCCAGTCAGCTGTTGCAGTAGCTAAGATTGTATGTTTTAAACAGGTTGGCCCCCAACAGGGTTATTGTATCTTTCTGTTAACCTCCTGCAAGTCAACAAGTTTGAAAGGAAATAGTAGTAATTGACAGCTTATTACGCCAGGCACTACACTAAGTAAGTACTTGACCTGTATTACCTCACAACTCAGTGTGAGAAATCAGAAAAATCACCTAGCTCAGTCACAGAGCGATTTGACGGAGCTGGAATTTGAACCCAAAGTCCGTGCTCTGGACTAGTTCAATTGTTCTGCACATATGCAGATTAAAATGGTGTAATTCCGTAGTTCACCTGTCAGATGAGTCGATCTTTTTTTTAATGCTGATGCTTGTCATTGATGAGGGCCTTGAGATAGGCTACTTGGATAATAACAGTGAGAACTGGCGTTCCTACCACTTTTGCGGAGGCGGGTTTGCAGTATGTAGAGAGAATCTTAAAAATGTTGATAGCCATTCTTTCAGCATTTCCAGGAACTTATCCTGAGGAATTAATCAGAGAAAAACGGGTTTATGTATATGAATATTAATCTCAACATTGAAGAAAGATTCAGAATGAACTATGTGCTTTAAGAATCAAAAAATGATAACAATATGGTGTACCCACATCTTAAATTCTAGGCTGCCTTTAAATTGCTTTTGAATATTTAACCAGGGGAAATACTCATGATATAGTAAGAAAAGTAAGGAGGAGAGATACTGTGATCCCAGTTGAAAATAAAATGGGGTTATGTATCTGTATATGTAGAAAAAAAGCGTGGCATGAAAGAGGCTTGAATTTCAGAAGTGGTTTCAAATGAGAGAAGTCCTGAAGAATGCCTTAATGGGCTCTCCAAACTCATCACCATTTAGTTTAAAATTTCCTCTTGTTCTTTTTTTATTTTTATTTTTTAAGACCTGAAAAGCTCTAGCAAGATCGCTTGGTGATTCTCAGTTTTTCTAGTGATATTTTTTTAAAATGGAATTTACTCTTTCAGACTGAGATACTTGGAAACTTTGTCTTAGACTCTTACATATGACTGAACTGTTTCCCACCCCTACTGATTATGTCCAGTGACTTCTCCTTATCATGGGAGGATCCGGTATAATTTTATTATTATGATCTTTGTAAGGTGAAGGATTGAAGTAATTTAGAATCAGAGTTGTCTCCCCCCACCTCGATGTTTTATTATGGAAATGCTCAAACATACAGGAAAACCTGAAAGAATTTTTCAACAGACACCTATAAACCCACCATCTAGATTCTACCTCTGACGTTTTCCTGACTTGTTTTATCACACATCCAGCCATCTTATTTTTAGATGCATTTCTGAGGTGCAGACATCAGTACAATTTCCCACAGTTAATTACCTATAATTGCAGCGTTACAATACAGTCCATAGAATTTACTCTTTTGGCCTGGAAATGCAGTAAACACGCGTTAAAAACATGTTTGTATCATATCTACGATTGTTATTCTGATTATGTAGCAAGTGCCCAGTGCCCTCCGTCACCTCTTCTCTTGTCAATCTTCTCACACCAGTGAAGGAGAGGAGGAACTGGCATCGGCATGACTGCACGGAGATCGACGACGGCTCCAAGCCCGTGCAGGCCGGGACGAGGGCCTTCGTCACCCAGCTGCGCGCCCGTGTCTTCCCAAGGTATATGGACGCCTTCTGACCAAAGAAAATTTAACAGTGCTGGCTCTTAAAGTGACATTATCTAAAGCAGTGCTTTTCAAATTTCAGGTTGCAACCTTATTACTGGTCTCAACCAGCTTTCCACTTTTTTTTCAAATGAAATAGAAAAGAGTAGAAAAAATCAGTACGTTGCAAGTAATAGGATTAGTAAGCATAGTTTCATGGAACTTTGTTCCGTGTGTGTAGATATCCTGGGTCTCCGTGTACGGCCGATTTCTTCCTGGGTGTCACTGTGCACAAGTGTGAAATGCGTGGACCCAAGGCTGTGTTCCCAGCACTCGGCTCTGTGAGCTGCAGCTGTTTCTTCTCTTTCCTTTCACCTTACCTTCTGTTTTCCCTTCACGTTGTTTGTATGTCTGTCTGTGTACCAGGCCCACAGGCAGTACCCACATCTGTCGCCTGGTTTGTGGTGACATCGGGGCTGGGCTTTTTTGCTTAAAGATAGTGAAGTGCATCTGAGTTTGTCTGTGGCTCAGAGAGAGTCAGAAGCATTACAAAGCATTTAATCACGCTAATTTAGATCATTTCCTGCTCACTGCCTGACTTACATTTAAGTGATGCTGCTCAATAGGCTTTTATACAAGGTCATAGCCGGGCTGGTTGCAGGGGAGAAGCACAATTTAAATTTGAATCACAGGCAGCCGATTATGGCATTATCCTGCTATTTCTCCACAATCTGTAGGATTCTTATCTACCCCTCTCCTTAATCATTACACAGAAAAATAGGAATGATAAACTCCTGTTGGCTCCCTGAGGTCTCCTGAGAGAAAGAAAATATGTATGAAACACAATGTTTCTTGTGATTTTTTGTGGTTTTAAAGACCCTGTTCCCAAATATTCTCCTTTAACAGTTTCAAAATCACAGGAAACAATTTTTTTTTCCTTTTTATTGGAAAACGCTTGATTGTTTTGGAGCCTGGAGCCAGGGTTTTCAGCCTGGGCCTATGGGCGGCCTCCCTACAGGCTGTGAGCTCCTGAAAATGTCTGCAGTGTGTGGATGTGCGTTTCTCAGGGAGGTGATGCTGGAGCTTTCATTAGAATGTGTTTTCAAGTAGGCTTGTGACTCAAAAAAGTGTTAAGAACACCCGGCTAGGTAATACCTGTGGCTTTTCTGTCACGGTGAGCATGAATGAGAGTGGGTCATTGAGATGGTCACAGATGCCCAAACTGTGATTGCCGTTAATTAAAGGTCTTTTGGTTTTATTTTATTTAATCCCATCAACCTTCACATCACTTAAAAACATAGTAGAGTAACAAAACTTACTGAATTACACATACTTGATGTGATTAATACAGAAGTGTATAAAATAAAATGGATTACTGGCCCCATCTTCCATTTTATTTAGTGTAAATCTTTATGCAGAAACAGGTCTAACAAGATTCGCACAGAACACAGCGGTGGGCCAGGGATGCTAGTCAGCCGCCAGTGTGCCAGGCCAGTTCTGCATGGCGGTGAATTGTCCTTTGTCCTGTTCAGCTCTGAGATGTTTCACAGATATTCCTGTAGAGGGTTATAGTCTAAGTATAGTCTTATTTCCAACTGTATACATTGGGGTAAGTATCTTATATTATCTGTGGATCTTACTTTAGGAGAGTAAAAGGGAGTTTTCAAAACATTTGTTGTAAAAAGTGAAATCAGGATGATAGATGAGGACCTATCATACTACAGTATAATAATGTAAATAATATTCACAGTATAAATAATAATATATACATACCAGTAATATAGTATCTGAGTTCATCTATTTGCACAGTATTTTTTTTAAACGGATCTTCCCAACAGAGATGATATGTCAGCCTTCCGTTTTTCCTCAGTGCCGATGAAGTCGTCGTAAAGATGCATGGTGGCCAGCTGACACAGAGATACCTGGAGAAGCATGGATTCGATGTCCCCATTATGGTCCCTAAGTTGGATGACCTGGGACTCAGGCTCCCCCCACCTACTTTTTCTGTTACGGATGTGGAACGTTACGTAGGTACGAACTCGATTCCTGTAAGTGCTTGGGAAAACACGATAAATAAAAAATGGTTAGCGTCCCAATAAAATGAAAAATTGAATGAAGAAATGTTAATTTAGTTCAGTTTCTTATTTCAGAGAAAGTGAAACCCAGTATCACCCCTTGTTGAAAACTGTTTTCTCAGCAGACCTCCCATTGTCAGGAACATAGAATGAAACGTTTTCAGCCTCATCGTCTGCCTGTATGGAGTCAGTCAATTTTCTGGTATTTGCTCTGGAGAAACGACTACTGAGGCTGCAGAAACCAGGAAAAAGCAGACGTGGAAATGAGCCAGGCTGTAGGCGTCTCCAGATAGCAGTGGGAGAGCCTCAGCCAAGCACAGCGGCTGCCTGTTCACAGTAACGAGTCCTCTGGATCCCGTGTCAGAGACTTGTTGCTGCTTGGAGGGAGGGCCAAGACAAGAAGATCGTCCTCCGCCCGTCTTTATATGCATGACTCGACGAACGTTACCAGTTAATGACTTCTGGACTTAGCGTGTGATTTGGGAACCCAGAAAGGCTTAAAAACACGGCAGACCACCCTTCCTCTGTTGCTCCATTGTTGACTTTTTCAGTCATTTCTTTGGTTCTCATGCTGGTCCTGATAGATACAGCTGACTGTATGTGGATCTTAGTCACTGTAAGCAACGGGTAGAGATTATCTGAAGACACAGCTCTCAAATCTACATTACTCCAAATTGTAAATCCACTACAGTACCTTAGCTCTCCAGCATGGAACATCTGAGACTTCGTCCCTTTATCTAACCACTGGTTGGCAAGTCTCATTGATGACTGTTTCCCTGTCGTTGTTAGGTGCCATTGAGTCGATCCCGACTCATAGCAGCCCTACAGGACAGAGTAGAATTCCCCCATAGGGTTTCCAAGGAGCAGCTGGTGGATTTGAACTGCCGACCTTTTGGTTAGCAGCCATGGCTCTTAACCACTGCGCCACCAGGGCTCCTTTCCCTGAGGAAATCCAGTTAAATATCATGGCTTCACATTCTGCTAATTTTGAATATTTGATAGATCAGGGATGAGACCAAAGTTTAACCTAAAGCTCATAGCACTGTAAAATAAATGTCAGTAGCACTGTGAAATAAGTGGCTAGTGTAATATAAATTAAGTCAGTGAAAAAGAGGAAGACCCTCAACGAGACGGATTGACACAGTGGCTGCAACCATGGGTTGAAGCATAATAGCGACTGTGAGGATGGCGCAGGACTGGGCAGAGGATGGCGCAGGACTGGGCAGAGGATGGCGCAGGACCGGGCAGGGCTTCCTTCTGTTGTGCACCTAACGACAACAACAGGAAAAAAGGTTTAAATTGCTTGATGGCTAACTTTTCAGTTCTCCACGGAATGTATGTGTCTCCCTCAGTGGAAGACCAGTGACAGGATTGTCTTGTCTCCTAAAGGTAAACTAAAGAAGTAGATTAGGCAACACTTTCTTAACCTCTGTCATGTTACGTTAAAGTAAAAACAGGCGTTCATTTGCTGTCTCCTTCAGAGTGGGTGAGTGTTGCCATATGTCGAAGCCCTCCTTCTCCTGTAGTGCTCTGCAAAGCTGGTGATGCTTCCCAGGGTGGCGGGGCCATGGGGTGATTGGGAAATACAGAGCGAGCATGGCGCAGAACTCACTCACTCGTACAAACACAACTGATCGTTGCTTCCTGATCGCTTGTTTTCTGTTGAAGCCAAGAAGGCACGACCAGGCCAGCGGAACTTGCTTGTCCTGGCCAGCTTGCTTCTGATTCACCATTGACTGATGTGGTTTTGAAAATGAGAGCCCTTAAATCTTAGGTATTAGAAAAGGGAAGGGGGAAACCAGTCCCCTCACGTTATGGGTGGGACCCTGGAAGCGTCACACGCTCTCCACATCCAGCACGGTGTGTTCTTGTCAGCGTGAGCTGCACGGTGGAAATCACTGGTAGGAGGACAGTTTTAGAAGCCGTGTAAGTTTTTCTCTCAGGGTTAATTGTGCCGTGCTGTTTTATTCCTTCTCTCAAAGAAGTCCATTTTTTCAAAAGTTGCAGTTGGACTTAAAGTAAGAAGGTAGGAAGAATCTTTGTTCAGGCTGTGTAGTTTTATGGATGGCTTAACTATCATACCAAGTAAATATGGTCTTTAAAATATTTCTGTGTAGGGCATCTATGGTATAACCTCAAGCCCAGTAAAAAGACTGTTGTTTCTCTCTGTAGGTGGTGACAAAGTGATCGATGTCATCGACGTGGCAAGGCAGGCAGACAGCAAAATGACACTTCACAATTATGTTAAATACTTCACGAACCCTAACAGACCAAAAGTGTTAAATGTGATCAGCCTTGAATTTTCAGATACAAAGTGAGTAGCTCTGGAACTCTGGCTTAGCATCCTGGGTGTTAGTCAAGTGTAGTTTAATGATCAGTTTATTTTTGTTAGAAACTTGATGGCTTCTAAAGTGATCTCGTGCTGGCAGTGCTCTAAAGTTTGATTTGGAACACTGTGAGAACGTTTAGAAATATGATGTGTTTCAAACTTTAAGTTAACCTTCCGTTCCAGTTAATTACTTGGTTTGGGTTGAGATGCGAGGTGCTGTTTTAAGAAGTTTTAATTTGCGTGGTGTGTGTGTGTGTGTGTACGTGTGTGTTTGTTTTTTTAAAGGATGTCTGAATTGGTGGAGGTCCCTGATATAGCCAGAAAACTTTCCTGGGTGGAAAATTACTGGCCAGATGATTCAGTCTTTCCTAAGCCATTTGTTCAGAAATACTGCTTAATGGGCGTTCAAGACAGCTACACGGATTTCCACATTGACTTTGGTGGCACTTCGGTCTGGTACCATGTCCTCTGGGTAAGATACGGGTGTTTCTTTGTTCTCTTGTTGACCAAAAAAAAAAAAAAAAAAAATCACCATGTTTTTCCAGTGGCACATTCTCTGCTGTAAATGACACTTGTAAAGGGGAACATTTTTAAGTAGGAGTCATCACGTTACCTTTAAACATTGTTGTTTTTTTTTTTAAATCACTGAGATTTGAATAAATCAATGATTAGTTTGAGATGAAACAAGAAGTTGGGAATAAGCTGTTGGAATAAAGAGTTCTCTAACCCTTTTTCTGCTGAAACTTCTTTTATATCTTTGTACCTTACATTGTTCTATCCCAAGTAATGGGAGAGCTAGGGGTTCTTAATTTATATTTAGATTCCTTTTTTGCCTTCTATCTTTTAAGTTGGTTTCTCTTAGCCTGTCATCTCTTTTTGTTTCCTGTTTCCCCTTGTCAATGATCAGTTATTCCCTGAATCAAATACCTGAAAAGGAGCAGAATTATAGTAATAATTGTTTCTGGCCTTACGGTTGGGCTAGGACAGCTGGTTGGGTACGGCAGGAATGCCCATACCAATCCCACTTCCTCCCCGCAGCTAACGTTCGCGTTGCCTTATCTAGAAGTGTGCTGTTCAGCACAGCAGTCACTAGTCACACATGGTTATTTAAGTAATAAAAATTTAAAAACCAAAACGCGTGACCCCGTGTGTGTCAGAGCAGAGCTGTGCTCCATAGGATTTTCAGTGGCTGATTTTTCAGAAGTAGATCACCAAGCCTTTCTTCTGAAGTACCTCTGGGTGGACTTGAACCTCCAACTTTTCAGTTAGTAGCCACCCAGGGACTCAAATTAAAATTAAATATAATTAAAACTTCAGTTCCTCGTTTGCACCAGCCATATGTCAAGTGCTCAGTAGCCCTGTGGTTAGTGGCTACTGTATGGGATAACACAGATCTAAACATTTCACCACCACAGAAAGTTTTATTGGGCTGCACTGATTTAGAACTAAATCTTAATCTGTATCAAATACCCATCGCTCAGCAATGCCCTGGACTGTATTTGACCCTGGGTCCTTGAGCCCCTGTTCTTTTTCTCCATGGAGAAGCAAAGGGTCAGTTTATTAAAGGAAGTTTGTTTATTAAAAAAAAAAAAAAAAAACCAAACCCACTGCCATTCCAGTTGATTCTGACTCATTAGTGACCCTATAGGGTCCTATAGGGACAGAGTAGAACTGCTCCATAGGGTTTTCAAGGCTGTAAATCCTTACAGAAGCAGACTGCCACATCTTTCTCTCGCAGTTTGTTTATAGATATTTTAAAATAATAGATGTTTAAAAATAATCATCATGTTATAGATCTTAAGAGAAAGGGCAGAGTTTGCAGGGATGACTCTCTGTAACGTGAGTGGACTTCCATACCTTGAAAACGAAAGGAGACCAGTGGGACGTTTGTGGTCCTTACCTTCCTCCCTGTTAATGGTTTCTCCAACATGTACTGGATGGACTTATGGTCCTGTCTGGGAGGGGGAGCTCTGGCACCTGTGAAGATGCTTATTAATGGCAGTAACCACTGACCAGGTATGTGAAATACGTCTTTCTGAGCCTAAAAAAAAACTGACAATTATCCAGTTTAATTTAGGTCATCGTATTGGGAAATGTAGGCCATCCTAAGAATGGCTTTTCCTTTTTCAAAAATTAGTATGATTACTTCCTTATAGGGTGAGAAGATTTTTTATTTGATAAAGCCAACAGATGGAAATTTGGCCCTCTATGAATCTTGGAGTTCATCTGTGACCCAGAGTGAGGTGTTCTTTGGAGACAAGGTGGATAAATGCTACAAATGCGTGGTAAAGCAGGGGCATACCTTGTTTGTTCCTACAGGTAAGGCTCTAACCCCTCCCCCACGTCCACCCCCGTTTTACGTTCACACCAGCAGTGTAGGGTTCCAGTTCCTCCGCATCCTCCACAGCACTTGTTCATTGTCGTTTTTATTTCAGCCTTCCTCGTGGGTGTGAAGTAGTATCTCATGGGGGTTTACATTTGTCTTCCTCTGATGACTAATGATGCGAAGCCTCTTTTCATGTGCTTAATGGCCCTTGCTAGATCTTCTTTGGAGAAATGTCTATTCATATCCTTTGCCCATTCTTTAATTGGATTATCTGTCTTTTTATTGTTGAGTAGTAAGAGTTCTTCATATATTCTAGACACAAGTCTCTTAGCAGATATATAACTTGCATAAATGTTCTCCCTTTCTGTGGGTTGTCTTCTCACTTCCTTAATAGTGTCCTTTGAAGTGCCAAAGTTCTAAATTTTATCAAGCCCCTTCAGCTTTAACCCCAAGCAGCCCCACTGCAGTCAGAGGCCAGGCCTGC